ATTATCTCACTATTACTAAATGTTTCTGATGATCCAAACAAATTAGAAGAACAACACTTCTCTCTCATCATCTTCTTGTTTGAACTTAGCTTTTGCAAAAAAATTGCATCTGCTTCGGCCCATTTTTTATGTTTCCAAAAGCACTTTTCACTTTGCAATTGCGAGTCTTTCGAATCCTTCGTCATCGTAATCAGAATGGATCAACTCTAATATCTGCACTCCAAAAGAGAAAAAAAAGTTATAATAAATCCTTGAACTTTAGGAAATCACTAATCCAACTATCAGACAAATTTAAAGATACATAAGAAAAAGTTTTTTTTTCCTCCTTTCTAAGTAGATATTTATTAATAAACTTTTTAAAGTTGAGAAAACTTATTCTACTTGAACTAAACACAGATCTTAAAGTTGGGTTTGAAGTAGTAAAATTGAAATTTGAGAAGCTAAAGAATTGAAGGGTAATGAACTAACTCTTGAAATAAAAAAACTCACCTCAAGAATTGAAGACTTTCTTTTCCTTCTTTTTAAGTGTCGCAAAGGCTCTTATATTTATAACACAAAACAAAAGAAAAAAAAGGATTGATTCCTTTTCCTACACAATTTTCGATTTATCTCTTAAAAGAGTTCCTTTTCCTTGTCCAACTAAAATTTGAAAATATAATAATAATAATAATTCTGATGAATGATATTAATAATAGAAACTAATGGATAAAGTAATAAAAGAAAAAATATTTTATTTTCAATAAAAAAAAGCAAAAATATTTATTATACCCCGAAAAGACCTCTTAGGTTTATAATGAAAAAAGAAGAAAAAAAGATACTGAAGACTTTTTTTCTTTTTCTTTTTCTTTTTTTTTTTGTACGACACTGAAGATTAAATGATGATAAGTTCTTAGAGAGAGAAACTGATGAATGAGATAATATAAGAAAATATATTTACTCAACTTCGATAAAGTCTCTATTTGTTATATTAAAAAAGATAATAATAATAATAATAAGGCCTCTGGTTACTTTCTCGTAATTATTATTATTCTTTTTTTGGTATTTTTCTTAAAATACATTTAAACTTCTAGCTATTTCTCTTTTTTTTTCTAAGTTATTTTTAGTTTTTAAAAGTTGATTTAGATTTTGAAAATATTTGTATTGGTAGGTAATAATTAATATCAAATTATGTATCTCAATATGTTACAATATGTTATGTGTGTATAATATACATCTTTTTATCTCTTTGGTAGAGTTACTTAATTGAATATTTTTAAGGATTGTTAGGTAACATTTGGAAATTATTTATGATTCTTGTTTCTTTTTTTAAAAAAAATATTTTCAAAATTAGTCTGATTATTTTATATTAATTTTGTTTAGCAATTATTTATAATTTTTTATTAACTAAAATTAATTTTAAATTAAAATGAATAATTTTTTTGAGTTCTACAATTAATAATTTTTTGTTTGAGTACATCTGCAATTAATAATTTAGTATGTATTATCTTCCATTATTCCTTGACTATTAATTTTACTAATTATGTTAAATTTAATTGATTATTTATTTAATTTTTTTTTTAATTAAGTTAAGCAATGGTAGGGTAGGGTGGTGATTGAACTTGCGGACGTTACTCTCTAGTAGTTTGTTTTGTCAGTACATATATCTTAGCTTCAAAATAGTATTTAGGTCAAAAATAATATTTAATTTGTATCTAAAATCATTAATTTAAATTTCTCAAAAACAAACCATCAATTTGAAATCTGATTTCATAATATTTTAATTTGGCTTCAAAATTGAAAATTCAATATTTTCTTTCTTTAAAATTGTTCTTTGGAAACGGTTTTCAACATCTTATAAATTCATAATCTTTGATATCAATTTCAACAATATATCCCATGTTATCTTTTATTTTAAAATTAAGTCCAAATTTCATCCAAATTTTTACTTTTTTTTTTTTGAAAGGTTCTAATTTTTACTTTTGAAAACTTGTTTACAACATCTTTCATTAAATAAAAAATAAGCCAAAAGTTTTTTTGTTTTGTTTTTTTTTCCGAAGTATTTAATTTAAATCCGAACTTTCAATTTCAGATTTATTTTCCAATCAATCTCCGTTTATTCCTGTTTTAAATTAAAATTTTTTTTGAATGTTTATTAATGGTTAAAATAAAAGGTCAAATAAAATATAGAGTTAGACCAAATACTCTTTAATCATTACAAAATTGATCAGTGTACACCACCATATCTTTTCTCAACCAAAAGTGAAAGTAGGTGAAAAAAATTTTGACATCACCGCAGCCCACTTGGTTTTCTTTCCCACGGAGCGGTATAGCGAAAAAAAAATCAACAAAAAAAGGCTAGGGGAAGATAGGCAGCTTGACTCCTCGAATGCCACGACAAAACAAGGGAATGAAAGGCCGCTTTGTGTTGGAAGCTCTTTACTGACTTAGTCGTAGGCGTTTTCTTCGTTGGGTTAGATTTCCGATCCACCAACTATTTGAAATGTTGGCAAATAGGGCTTCATCATCCAGAAAGATGTGTTCCGCGAGCCTCCTTGCTTCCTTAAGCCACCATTCTGGAGTCGAGGTTGAGTTGTCGGAGATCTGTTGAGGTGGAGACTCTGTAGTGCCTGAAGAGGGAAAAGAGAGTTCAGACATGAAGTTTTGAAAAATCCAAACATCTCAGAGATATATAGAGAGGTAGGAATTTATCGAACGAACCACGCACGTAGACTCAAAAGAAGGGAGAGAGGTAGAAGCTTTCTCTTTTATTTAGAGATGGAAGTCATCTACTCTGCCAAGGCAAGAATCGCAGACTGTCTGAGCTGCCTACGGTTACAGAATCGCCCGAATATAGGCCGATACATCTCCAGCTTGTGTTTAAATGAAGGGTCGGATCTCACCAAGTCGGGCGAATGGGAAAGAAGGGATGAGTGATTCGGGAGCAGCAACGGGAGAGGGCTCGTAGCCCCCCTCTCACTCTTCCTCATGCCTATTTATTCTCCTGACCTCTGAGAGATGCTAATCCTATCAATTCCAAGTTCTCGTCGTGCTGAATTTCTCGCACTGGGATAGAGTCCAGTTAACATGTGGACATGAAATAAGCGAGAGCAGAGAGCGTAAGGGTGTCCACGAAGAAATCACTCCAAAGTCATAATGTCTCAAAATTAGAAGGCCAGTAGACCCAACATTTAGAGAGCGATACCACCCTGCAAAGGCAGGAGGAAAGCTATAGGCATCAGCAGAAAGACGCTCTTAGTTCAGTTTGGTAGAACATGGGTCTCTAAAACACGATGTTGTGGGTTGAAGTCCTACAGAGCACTGTAGCTGCATATGACCCTCGGAAATGAAGTACCAGTGAAGAGGCTCCTGCATCAAATGCCTCTCTGAACCCTCCAATGGGAGCAACAAAAGCGGGTGATTCTATGCCGCCATCTCCGGAACCATTTATGATGGCTCGACCGTGAGACGATGAGGGATAAGCTTCATCGTCGAGAGGGAAACCGCCCAAATCACCTGCTAAGGCCCCTAAATGACCGCTCAGTGATAAAAGGAGGTAGAAGTGCAGAGACAGCCAAGAGGTTTAGGGGGCCGTATCAGAATTTAGAAATACGATGTTTTAGGAAAAATAAAGATGTCTCCTACGTTACTCGTAATATATGGAAGTATCGATGTAATTTCATAGAGTAATTCAGTCTGAATACTACATGAAGAATAGAAGCCAGATGAAGGAACAGGAAGACCTTTAGTATCGCCTTTGGAAGTCTGAACGTAGGAGTTAGGATGATCTAGTGGGAGGGATCTTCCTCACAAAGCCAGAAAGTCTTAATAGCATTAATTGTGGTGATGGTAGGGAATGTTGGAAATCAGACACTTCCTCAACCCAGCATGTTGAGACTGGAGCATGACTAGGGAGCAAGCTTTTGAAAACTCCCATTTTTCGGCTTCGAAGTAAGATCCTTGTGTTGACCCTTTCCTGAATGAGAACCGGGTTGAGAGGAAAAGGAGATCAAAATGTCCCATCAATAAAGTAAGGGCTTTCCAGACCTTCCCCACCCGAAAATCTCTTCCCTCTTTCGGGGTTACCTACTTGAGGGCTTATAAATGGCTTTGGCACAAAGAACCTTTCCAACGCAAGCACCCCAATCTTCTGCATATCTTGCTCATCCGACATGGCATGAATCACCGAACCTGCACTCAAGAATAGTAATGCTTTGAAAAACGTGTGATTCATTAAGTGATGAAATTGTAAGCTTCCAAGCAGTGGGAGGAGACCAGGACTCTGACCGCGTGCCTGTTGTATTTGACTTTGCTAAGCGCTTTTGCGTCGAGGGTGGATGTATGGATTTTTATACCTAATTTTCCTTGTTTATAAGGGTAAAAAGAAGCTAAATTGGTGTTGTTTTCTAATGTTTTATACTCAGAAACCGTATTTTAAGCTTATTATAGTGTCCAAAATCTTTCACTTGGAGTTACCTTAGGTTATACATTCATATAAGACGTTTTTACATCATCTAGAGTTGATTTCTAACGGAAATTACAATTTTGTGTAGGGTGTGATTTGAAGCTTCCCAAAAGTGTTTGAAATGAATGGCTCTCCACAAAACTCTCAACCTCCTAACCATATTCATCTTTTAATCATGTCGTCTACTTCCATCAACACAACTAAATTTATTTTCCCAAGCCCGGTTATGGATAATTGGCTAAAGTTTTTAAATCCAACAAAGGCAAAAAACGTTTTTCTCTTCTTTTATCACTTAAAAGTTGTTTTTATAACCAAGCATCAATACTGATACAACTTTGGAGAGAAATACATTAAAGATTTCGCTCGAGTAACCTAGACATAGGACCTCGACCTAAGATTACGGTTGGTTTTTATTAAATTAAGATCTTTTTTCTAATAGACATATTAGGAATAAACTTATACCTTCAAAATCACTTAGACATAAGAAGATGGCGAAGTAAAATCGAAGAAAATTTATGAGAGGTGCATGGTGCATAGTTGGAAAATGAGCTGTGTTTATTGCATTAAGTCTTTAAATATCAAAACCAGCATTATCCTTATCATTTGTTACCCCAAAATCAATTACAAAGTCACCGATCAACATCATTTTCATTAAAAAACTTAATTTGTCCCTGAGGATCGATACTCGAAATACTCGTTCCGTTTTACTACTTGTGACAGGTGTACACTTGCGCTTAGGTTAAACCGGTCTCGTCATTCACGCAATTCCCCCATCCATCGATCACGCGAGATGAACGAAAAAAGCATTCATCCTGGACGCTAACGTGGTAAGTCATGCCACCACAGACTCCTATTTTCCCTCACATGTCAACTTTCGCTTTAAATCGATCTCGCTCATCTAGTCTGTCCGGTCAAATAAGCTCTCCTGCCCGTGTATCCCATGCCTGGTATCATTGATCTGTCTAATGGGAGCCGTCCACTGTCACTAAATCACCACCCCTAAGTCAAACTGGTTCTTGTTGTTGCACTGTGGCCGTTATACTAGGTGCTAAGGCCCTAATGATCAATATAAATACGAATGAGCTGACTTGATATTTGGGCATTATAATTACAAGAAGACTTTTTGAATTTTGATTCTTTCATATCTTCAGAGAAAAAATTGAATCATAGCATAGCTCAAAAGTGAGTTCTTACTCTTTGACTCGAGGGGAAGGAAAGCGATGATTACCTGGAGTGAGGTTGACCTTCTTTCTGCGTCTTATTAGAGTCAGTAGTTGGAAATCTCTTATTTTCTTCTTGAGAGGAACTATTCGTATATTTGTTGTTGAATAGGAATAAAAAACGCCAATCTTTGAAAATTTTGTCAGCATATAAGTGTTTTCAAATAGATCTATTCAACGATAGAAAAATTTTAGAATGTAATAAAAGAATCAATTTAGAAAGATCCTCGATTTCTAATTAAGAATTCGTTTGGACCCTTACGGGTTGTTCCTTTTATATATATATATTAGGATTAGCATCAACGTTTCATAAGATTCAAGTGTTTATTTAGTTTGAAAATGGTTGCAACAAAAGCTTGATTCAAGGTGTCACAAAACAATCCCATTCTAAAAATAAAGAACGAATACCACACCGATGCTCCTCCATAACTCAACTATATTTAAGAAAATGAGCTAAAGAAATCCCATGAAATAGTTATATATATGAACAACATTTTGGCTACCCTATAAATATCTTCATTGAAGATTGAAAAAAGAATGTTAAAAAAAAAAAAAGTTCTACAAAAGAGGAGCCCGTCTTGGTATTCCTTTCCTGCTTCTTTTTCTGAAGGATTTATTATTATTATTATTATTATTATTATTATTATTTTGCTCCAATATCTCTGGTACTACTTCATTTTCCATTACCTTGCAATGGTGTGAATGAAGAGAGATTTCAAGGTCAAAACGACACCCACATTTTTCACATCGCTGCTCCAAACCTACTTCTTCATCTCCTTTTTCCTAAATAAATATTAAACATAATGCCAATCAATTATTTTAACTATCTTTTCTTTTATTCATATAATTAACTATCACTCTTTTTTCGGGAAGATAGGTAAAAAAAACAATAAAACGCTATTAACATTCATGGTTACATCTGAATAGCCATGTCTATTGTAAATCTTTCACCATGGGATCCTCAACAAACGCTACTCAAGATTAAACAAACAAAAAATATGTATATGAACCTTAATATTGATAAAACAAAAAGGATATTACCTGAAAATCTCTTTCATGCTTCTGGTTGATCTTGGAAGGTTCAGTTGTAGCAGAAGCCTTTCGTAGTCGAAGATTATAAGGGAGCGATTTGTCATCCATTCTATATTCAACAATTCAACTCATCAACCTCTCAATCTTTCACTCAACAAAAACAAAAACAAAAACAAAAACAAAAAAAATTTGCAGGAAGGAGACAGAAAAAAGGGAAAAAAGAAAGTTAGGGTTGAGATTTTTAAGGGAAACAGATACTTGTTGACTGTTGAGATTATGAAGCCTAAACAGAAGCCAACAACGTATTCCTATTCATTTGCCTAATTATATGGATTCTGATCCATTCGAAATTTTGCTGACCTAAATTTGTGATTCATTTTAAACATATCATAATCGTATCAAATTTCAAATTTGTTGTTTGTTTGATAACAATTTAATTGGTTTTTAGTGTTAAGTTTTCTAAAAATAAAAACGCTTGCCAGTTGCGTAGGAATTTTTTTTTCCTTTTTTTAGGTAGTTTTGAAATATTAGATAAATACTTTATAAAAGAAAAAACAAATAAATTATTTTATGAGCCTCCCCGTTTTATTCTAGTGTTTGTCTTTGAAAGTTATGCTTACCTGTATGTTTCCTTTGTTATTAAAAAGATTTTCAAAATCTTAGCCAAGAAATCCAATATGCTTTTGTTTTTTAAATGTAGCTAAGAAATCAAATGTGTTTTTGAAAGAGGTGAAAAACATACCAAACAAATCAAATAGTTAAGGTTAAAAAACACTTTTGATCCTGTAATTTGGCTAAAGTAACAATTTAGTCCCTGAAATTTACTTTGTAACGATTTAGTCTCTTTACTTTTAGATTGATAACAATACTTTAATATGTAACAATTTTGTCCTTAGTAATTTAAAGTTGGTAATAATTTAGTCATTATAAATTTATAATTTTAAATGACAGGGATTAAATCGGAAAATTGTTACAATGAAAGTATATGGACTAAATCGTTACAAACAAAAACTCAATGATTAAATTGTTACTCCAGTGAAAGTCCGGGGAGCAAATGTATTTTTTAACCCAGAGTTAAGAAGTAAGCATCATTATAATTTTTTGTTTTCCACAAAATAAAACCCTTAGTTTTTTAAATAGATCTCTTGTGCTTGAACTTAAATATGTAAGAGGAATCCTTAAGCAAACTTACTAATATCTTCAACCCAAACACTTGATCCCTTGCCAGCCTTAGGCCCTCAAGAATTGCTAATGTCTCAGCATTCAACAGGGCAAAATACACTTCCAATCTTCTTGTCATAGCTGCAAGGATTTCTCCGATTCCTATTCTGAACTCTGTGTTTCTGCATGCTGCATCCACGTTTATCTTCACCGAACCAGGAGGAGGAGAATACTGAGGAGTTTCAGGTACCCCGAGCCGATAGACTAATTCGATCTCCATTGTAGATAGAGTCTCCATCAAAAGAAAGAATCTATGTTGTATGGATGGAATGGAAACCCAAGAGAGCAGGAGAGTTTGGTAAGAGCAATTTCAACACCTTTTTTGTTCTTTTACAACCAAACAAGGTATGATCTATTGTTTCCTCTCGATTACCATCATTGGCACAAATTCATGACAAACTCGCTACATGAAATTCTTAATTTTTAGAGGAATTAGAAGACTCCACATACTTCTCTACCAATTTCTATTCTTGTTGCAACGGGCTGAAGTATTTCCAAATCTGATATTCATAGCTAGTTTATAGCCACTTTTTAACAGTATAGAGGAAAAAATACTGAGAAAGAAAAGATTTTATAGGAGAAAAGCATGCAACATCTATCGATGAATTTGGCAAAAGAACGAGTGAACTTGTTTATAGAGAATCTAAACTCAGATAATAATAATTAACAATAATCTCAACAGAATAACAATTTAAGTAAAACCGCGTGGACTGTTATCTAGAGATGAATACCGTGTGGACTTTTATATGGAGATGAACAGTGAGCTTGAGTTTTAAACAAGTAAAATTAATAGCAGATCACGGCTTAGTAAGAATATCATCAAGTTGATCCATAGTGGGAAGATGATACACCAACAATCTCTTGGAACAAGATCATGAACAAAGTATGTGTCAAAGCTCCACATGTTTAGTTCTCGAATGCAGCACTAAATTTGGCATTGAGATGGACAACACTAAGGTTATCACACCATAAAATAGGTGGCGTAGGGAGAGAGATGCGCAAATCAGAAAATAAAGAATTCAATCATATTAGTTCAGCAATTGTAGTGGCTAGACAACGATATTCAACCTCCATATTAGACCGAGAAATAATAGACTGCTTCTTAGAACTCCATGTATGAGATTATTGCCAAAAAAGACATAGAAACTAGAAGTTGGATTTTTATCTGAAGCCCAATCTAACATCTGCATAACCATGAAGAGAGAAATCTCGAGGTTTGGATAACAGAAGATCATGATTAACAGTACCTTTTAGATAAAGAAGTATTTGTTTCACCAATTGCCAATAAGTGGAAGTAGGGGAATGCATAAATTGACGAGCCTTATTAACACTAAAAGATATTTTAAGACAAGTAAGAGTGGCGTATTGCAACGCACCAACAACACTCTGATATTGATGAACATCAAATAACCAATCACCCTCACGAGCAGAAACCAAAGGACCAATAATCATTGGAGTTAGAAATCGGATTGGCCTCAGCTATAACACCTTATGCAAAAGATTCATAATATATTTTGATTGAAAAAGAAATAAACCGCCTTGAGAAGGATAAGAAACCTCAACATTGAGGAGATAGTTTAGTAGATCCAAATCTTTTAAAGAAAACTGCTCATGTAGATCAAAAATGAGAGTAGCAATCATATCAGAAGAGCTGCCCGTGATTAATATATCATCTACACCAAAATGTAACAACAATGGGAAGAGGTGTGACGAACTAATAGAGAAGAATCAGCTCAAGAGTTAACAAAACCCAATGATTGCAAAAAAATAGTTAGACACTCAAACCACGCATGGGGTGCTTGTTTAAGATCATAAAGAGCCTTACGTAATCAACAAAAAAGTGGAGTAAAACCAAAAGATTGAAATCCAAATGGTTGATCCATAAAGATAGTCTCACTAAGAAGTTCATGCAGATATCCACTTGTCGTATAGACCACCCATGAGCAAGTACTAGTGTTAAGAGAAATATAGGATCTCTTACCTTTTAAATGAGAGTTGACATTGAATTATTTAGGTTTCATTTTTAGTATTTCATAGATATATGTAAATACTAACCAAAGTAAACGAAACTAAAAGCAGTACGAAATAGTAGGACAATTGCAGTATATTTTTCTAGGCTAAGGTAGTAATAGGAGGGTTGAAGGAAAAAACCACAGCCCATAAGGATATTGTGTGAAAAATTATTAAAATCACATAGATTTCTCTCCCCGACCCCAATTACACAAAACACGTAAATACCGTTCAGTTACTAGAGTTGGTATACCAGGCTTAAAGTATTTTAATTGTGATGATTAAAACACAAGCTTATGAGCTCTTTTTATAGTAGTTGGAACACACCTCATCCTTATACTTTTCCAATGTGTGACAACTTCTAACACATAGAGACCATCCTTACATTCTTCCAATGTGAAACATCTTCCATTCCAATATTTTATTAAAACCCAACAGGTTTTTCTATAATATACTCTTTCGTATTTTAAGTATTGTTACTAAAACACTCTCAATTATTTTTTGTCATAAATCAATTTCTCATTCAAACAGTTTACAAATCTTATTTTAAAATAAAAACTAATCCCTGTGGAGATGAATTTGTAATACTTCCAAATTATTAGTTGTGACATTGTGCACTTGTAGACCCTCTACTGAAGTATATATGCGCAACAATACTCAGGCACCGGGTGTTAATAGTGATTCCGAAAATGAGACATTTGTTGTGAACATCCTTCAAAACGCTAAAAGGCCTTCTGAACATATTAGAAAAAGGTAAGGCGAAAGGTGGTCACCTTGCCTAAGGCCCCTTGAATGAATCACGTGGCCTCTTGCTTCCTCGTTAATAACGATCTTAACTTAGTTATTGAGATACAGTCCACTACGATCACCACCCAAGGAGTATCAAAACCTATTTTAACCATTAACTTCTTGAGGAAAATCCATTCACTCCATCATAATTTTTGCTCATACCGAGCTTGAGAGCTGCAAAGTCATTCTTTCCTTGATTCATCCTCATTAAATGCCCAATCATGATGTTGTCTGTAATGGCCCTCCCAAGGACAAAAGCGAATTGATTTTCAGAGATAAGATTTCCTAAAACACTTTTTAAAACTATTTGCCAACACCTTGGTAATAATCTTATAAGAGACATTACACATGCTGATTGGGCGAAAATAAGCGGTACACTTTTGATTTTGCACTTTTGGAATCAGAGCTATATTTGTGGAATTCCATCCTTTGACCAGTCGATTACTATTTAGAATTTTCAAGCAACTTTCAACAGTTTTATTTCCAACGATATCCCAATATTTCTTATAGAAAAAAACGAGAAAGTCATTCTACCTCAGGGCCTTAGAATGGTGCGTCTGTTTAATAACTTTTTCCTATCTAATAACTTTTTCCACTTCCATTATACAATAAGGAGCTGTTAAGATAGAATTCATACCTTGAATGACTTTCAGAGAAATTATTTAGATCTAAGACTAAATAAAAGTCCTGCTTACTTTACTTTATTACAAGCACACCATATATATATGCCACTGAGAAATTACAATAAAAAATATAACAAACTTTGTTGGGATTGGTGGAGTCAAAACGACGTCAGATCGAGCTAAGAAAGAGTCGGGATCGAGCCAGAATGCGTCGGGGTCGAAGCAGGATGAAAATAGGGGAGAAGCGGATGTTGCAGGCCACTTGAGCCGAGGAGGCAGCGCCGCGGCGTCGCTGCAGGACGCCACGGCGCTGCAGCGCCACAGCGCTATCCAGATGGGGGAATTCGCGTCCGTAGTGCCATGGTGTCGAGGACAGCACCATGGCGCTGTTTCGATGTCTATATAAGTGCAGTTTCGGGTTTAGGGTTTTCCAGTCAAAAAAAGGGTTATTGTCCAATCGATTTTGAGCCGTTTTTCAGAGAGTTTCGTGGCAGTTTCAAGGGAGAGGCTCGGGCATTGGTAGAGGCATTGAGGCTCATCAAGATCAACA